AAGAAAGAGAAAAAAGAAACAGAAAAGCCAGAAAAAATAGAAAGTTAAAAAACTGATGACAGGAGTAAATTTAAATATATCAATGAAATAAACCCAGTTGAAAGGGAAGTTGTGAGATTGGATTTAAAAAACCAAAATCTATTGGATAAAAGAAACAAAATCTATGTTTGTGCTTTTTATAAGAGACATACCTAAGACATTAAGAAAGAATAGTTGAAAGTAAAAGAATAGAAAAATGTATTTTAAGCAAATATTAAGCAAAAAGAGTTGGAATATCTCTCTATATAAAATGTAGAATAGATTTGAGGGCAAAAAAGCCTTATGATAGACAAAAGAGATCATTTAATAATGATAAGAGGTTTAACTCCCCGGGTGGAAAAAATTCTAAAGTTTAAAACTTGATAACATAGCTTCAATAAGATAAAGGGGAATTTGTCATACTTACAAAGAGACACTGTCGAATTCTCCACTATTGTGAGTCGTTAAATATATATATCTCAATAATTGACAGATAAAATGGACCAAAAGCATTAACGATATGATTAATTTAAGCAATACAGAAAGCTGATCTACTGAACATATAGATTTCTACGTTCCAAATAAGGTATACAAATTAGTTTTGGTTATGCAAGAAACACTACAATAATTTATCATGAATTAGCCCATAAATCAAGTCTCAACCAATTTTAAGGAACTGATCTTAAACACATATTTTTGACCACAATTTAATTAATAAAGATATCTTTAGCTAAAAGGTAATGTTTTAAAAATTTAGAAAATCCAGAAACACTTTTAAATAACTCATCAATCAAGGAGAAAATCATAATGCAAAACAGAAAATGTTTAGGATCAAGCAATAATAAAATCCACTTTACCAACTTCACTAAAACAAACGGTTAAAAGAGGCTTAGAGGGAATTTGAAGTCATAAATGCTTAAATTAGAAACTGAGAAAGGCTGAATATTGCTGAGCTAAGCAATCATGAGAAATTATTTAAAAATAGAATTAATTTAAAGAGAGCAGAAGAAACAAAATAATAAGAATAAGCCTGGAAATTAATGTAATAGAAAACACAAATAAAATAAAAAAGATCAGCAATGCCAAAATTAAGGTTTTCAAAGAAGTGAGTTAAAATTGATAAATTGATCTGGCCTGTTTGAACTAAAAGAAAGAAGAAAGAGGAAGGAGGATGAGGAAGAAGAAGAGAAAGATGACAACAAAAACGTTAGGAATTAAAAAAATTCAGAGATATAAAAAAATAGTAAACTAGTACAAAAAAGTTGGTGTCACATTTGAAGATTTAGACAAAATGGTCAAATTATTAGAAAAAAAAAGGAACTTACCAAAACAAGCTGAGGAAGAAATAGAAATTCAGTCATTGTAAAGCCCTTAAAGAAATTAGTTCACCAACTTTAAAATCTTACACAAAGACCTGACCCAGATGACTTTATAGGTGAATATTAATAAACACCTAACTAACATAATTCCAGTGTAAGGCACACTTTCAAAAACTTGAAACAAGGAAAAACACACCCCCCAAAAAATTTGGTGGCCTCATTCCATGGAAAAAATATATATTTTATATAGCAAACTATATAAGGATGATACAAGAGATAAAATATGAAAAAAAAAACTTCACTCATGGATGTAGAAGCAAAACTCTGCAAAAAAGTATAAAAATGTAATCCAGCAATGCACAGAATATAACATATTATGATTAAATACATTTAAATAATGTATTAAATAATGTATTATTACTATTATTTATTTTATTATTAATTATTATTATTTTATCATCATTATTTTATTATTTATAATAAAATGTATTATTTTATTATTTATACATTATTTATACATTATTTATAATAATGTATTATTTATTATTATTATTTGAATAATGTATTATTTAAACAAACTCAATTTGTTTAAATAATGTATTATTATTGAGTTATATTATATATTATATATTATATTTTATATTATATTATATATTATATATTATATTTTATATTATATTATATATTATATGTTATATAATATATAATATTATATATTATATAATTATATTATTGTATTATAAACAAATTGAGTTTACTCTCAGAACACAGGATGGTCTAACTTTAGAAAATCAAATGAATACAATTCACTAAATTACAGATTAATAGAGAGTAAACACATGCTAATATGTATGGTTGCAGATAAATTATTCTATACAACTTATTTTTTATCCATGTTAAAACAAGCAAACAAACAAAAACTCTTAGGCAACTATGTAAATTAAAGCAAAGGAAGGACAAACCCATAATTTAGCAGGGTGGCTTGCCCGAGGAGGCAGGCTATACAGATTGGTGTGGGGCATACATAGGAAGCTTCTGTGCCACAGGCATTTGCTTACCACACAAGGCTCTTCATGTTCTGGCCTCTCACCATCCCTCTAGTGTCACATCCATCCAAACCTTTAAACCCATTCTTTATTTCCATCTGTATGGATCTTCCAAAACCACATATAAGGGCACTTCATGCCTCCATGCCTTAGTACACATTGCTTTCTCTTGGCCAGAAATGCTCTTCCTCCCTTCTCCATTTAGCCAACTCCTACTCATCTTTCAAATTCCGGAACTCCATTTTACACCTTCCCTCAATATTGATTTAGAAACCTTCCCTTCTTCTGTAACATTCCTTGTTTTCTTACGTCATGGCACTAATTGCGCTACACCAAAACCTTCAGTTAGGTCTCCTCTTCTAGTAGTCTTTCATAATAGTAATGTGTTACTTATTGAATATTCCAGGGAATTTACTTACATTATTTCTAATCCACAATACAACTGTCGAAAGTACCTATCTTCAGCTACAATTTAAAGTTGAGGAAACTGAGGCTTAAGAGAGTGAGGCAGTAAGTCCATGGCCCTATAATTATAATGGCAGCATTACACTCGCATCTGGTTCTATAATGTCTTATTGACTGTCTCTCCACCACCACGCTGAGTGCCTGAGACTTTCCTGGTTAGATGGATGTGGATGGGTGCATGGTCTGGGTTGAAATAAATCCTAGGTTAGAAGACAAAAAAAAAAGGGCCAAATTTGAAGTCAGGTTAAGAAGACTCGTGCTCAAGTTTTGCCTCTACCTCTAGCTGCTAGGATAGGAGAGTTTCCAAACAGCTGAGCATGTCCAGATGTGATTAGTATGGCAAGCGGGCTGCCTGGGTTGGGGACGACTTTGGCACTACAGTCTGCAGATCAACAGAGAAGATGGAAAGACAGTCTGAACTCAGAGGCAAGGTGCCTGTTGGTACAAGTTTTCTTTGCGGAAGAGCTATGTTGCCATGCAATATTTATCTGAGATCCTTAGATGGCAAGATAACGATTTGCTATTTGTGTGCAGCTGTTACCAGAGAGTGTGATGTGGGACTTGGTCTCAGTGCTGATTGCATACACATTGCCTGCCCTTTGGTTTGTGTCCAAGGCTGCCGTTTTCTGAAAATAGTACCTGATTCTGCCTCTGACTCAGTCCCTTTCTCCTCATATTCTCTCTGGTACATTAGGTCTAAGAAAATCAACTGATCTCTGATTGTTTGCTACATGCCTTTTTTTGTGTGTGAAATTTGTGAGTTATTACCAAGATATTTAAACTTTCTTTTATTAATTCCTGAAAGTTGGTGTCATGTGAATCAGTGGAAAGATACACACTTTCTTGTTGCCTCTCTAATGATTTACAAAGTCCTGGGGCATCCTTCACTCTGAATCTTTAAATAATGTAACAGAACGGAATTCATCAAAACCATCCCCTTGGAATCCATTGCATTGCCATTTGGGGTGGGCTTCTGCCTTCTTTTTTTTCTTTTTTTTGAGATGGAGTTTCACTCTTGTTGCCCAGGCTGGAGTGCAATGGCATGATTTTGGCTCACTGCAACCTCTGCCCCCTGGATTCAAACGATTCTCCTGCTTCAGCCTCCCAAGTAGCTGAGATTACAAGCACCTGCCACCACACCCAGCTAATTTTTTGTATTTTTAGTAGAGATGGGGTTTCACCATGTTGGCCAGGCTGGTCTCAAACTCCAGACCTCAGGTGATCCACCCGCCTTGGCTTCCCAAAGTGCTGGGATTACAGGCGTGAGCCACTGCACCTGGCCTGGATTAGGCTTCTTGACTTGTGTTGACTTGCTGACACCCTCTTTGCTCCCTCTCCAGGCACTCCTCTCCTTTAATATCTCCCTTTTAAGTGACTGTTTAATGGGGCTTTTCTGCAGCCCACATAACTAGAAATGGTGATGCTGCATGTTCTGAGCACCTGCTAAGCCTCCCTCTAAATTCTAGCCAGTTGATCCCAAGTCTCCATTCAGTACCTTGAGTAGGATTCTGCACTCCCTCCAGACCCCCCACCCCTAGACAGTGAGGGTTCAGCATGAATGACTGCTCTTTTTTTTAAATCCTTTTTGTATTTTAATTGATTGGTTAGACTCTGGGCATTTAATTCCCTGTGATGCAAACTCTCTCAGTTGTACATACTTAAGTCTGTCCACGTCTCACTGACTTACTGCCTCAGTCAATATAGTGTTAGTTGGCTTAACCATGGAACCTATTCTGTTTGCTACCTATAACTTTATTTTCTCCCTAACAAGGAAACCAGGAAGTTGGGGGCAGGCAAATATTGGTACATTCAGTGACTAACTTTCTTCTCTTTTCTTTTTTTCAATTTAGTGTTTTATTATGAAAGTAATACATGCTCATCATCAGTAAATGGTTCAGAATTGGGGGATTTCCTAATCCCATCTCCTGCTAACAGTGTGTTAAGTATTCTTCCATTTGTTCTCTAGTCATTTACTAAAAATGGAATAAGATGAAATAAAATAAGGTAACATAAAAATCACACAAAACACATTATATACACAAATAGAATACTACCAAAAACACGATTGTGTAATTTGACCTTTTTCATTTAATAATTATTGTGATTATTTTCTATATGTCAGTATATTTGTCCATTGTTCTTTTTTTTCCAGATGTTTCTTTCTAATGAATTCGCCATTACATTTCCAAAGTTATAAGATGGCCAACAGACCATAGAAAGACAATTATTTAGTCTCCTGCTTGAAACCAACAGCTTCAGCAAACTGCTGGCCTTGAATCAGGACCAACCATTCTTTTTAATACCTATGGAATACTTTTACTAGAACATTCTGCCTTCAAGGTATAGCAACCCAACTCATATACTACTTTAAGCAAAAAAGATAATTTATTGATTCACAAGAGTAGGAGGAAGAGATGTGGGGTTGGCCTTGGAAGGTATCAGTTCAGGGACCCAGTGGTGTCATGGGGATGCCCTTTCTTTCCATTTCCAGATCAGTACTAATGATTTGTTTGGTTTCCTTCTTTTCTACAGCAAAGCATACTTATTTCATGCAGTAGGAACAGAGGGTCACTCCTGCGGGTATCTTCTTTTGCATCATCTCACATCTACCTACCTACTGGTTGGATGATCCCGAGCTAATTACCTCACTCCTCTAAACTGCAGCTGTCATGTAAGCAGGTATTCTTGGGCTCTCTCTCTTCAGCTCTTTCTTGTGGTCCAGCCAGAGTCATGCCAGGTGTGGAAACTGGAAGTCTAGAAAGCAAAGTTTGCCACTGCTCTGATGCAGGTCCTCCTCCTGGGTGAGGAAAACAACCACATCCTTGAACCTAGGACAGCACCTTGGTGTCCATCTCCTCTTGCTTGTGCCTGGTCTTGGGATATTGGTGCTAGGCCTTCATTTTATTGTGTGCACCTTTGAGAGTAGATGAAGAGCTAACCAAACTATAAATCCCTGATTGGGTGTCTCTCTCAATAATGAACAGCTTAGGAACCCTTCTACCTTGTTTCTGAGGCCAAGGTTACTCTTCTCAAAGGAGTTTCCAGAGTTATGTTTCATTCTTATAAAATTATGCTTCAGAAGCCATAATACATGGGTGCCCACTGTTGAGGATTTCTTAAGATAAAGATCCTGGGCTCTACCCCTTGAGACTAAATCAGTAGGTCTGGGGTAAGGCCCAGAATTTACACTTTAAAAAAGTAACACACCAACTTCCAGTTCCAGTCTGGCATGTAAGAAGCTTGGAAGTTGTCACTCAGCCCAAACAACAAGTAAAAAGCTGAATAAGCCAGGTGTGGTGACTCTCATCTGTAGTCCCAGCACTTTGGGAGGTTGAGGTGGTTCCAATCACTTGAGCCCAGGAGTTCAAGACACACCTGGGAAACATGGTGAAACCCCATCTCTGCAAAAAATACAAAAATTAGCCTGGTATGGTGGCACACACCTGTAGTCGCAGCATCTTGGGAGGCTGAAGTGGAAGGATCACTTGAGGCCAGGAGTTGGAAGTTACAGTGAGCCACGATAATGCTACTGCACTCCAGTCTGGGTGAGAGGGTAAGACTCTGCAACAACTCTTTTTAGATCTCTAAGAGAGATTAGATTACAGGGCAAACTCCTGTCCCCCAAATTAAAGAGACCAACAGGGGAATACAGAGAATCACAACTCTGTGAGCAGGAAACCATGAGTAGTAACCTCTGCAGCAACCGGTGCCCATGTAGGAAAACCTTAACTGTAATTGATGAATTGCTGGAGGCTGAGTGTGGACAAGTCAAAAACTCCAGGGGGACCCAGTCATTAGGAGATCCCCACATTTTTGTGTTTTACCTTTAGAAGCTCTACCACACTGCCACAGTGAATATTGGAGAAAAATCTCATCATGCTTCTGCCAGGGGAAGGGGAAAAGAACTATTTAAAAATACCCCAGAACACTCTGTTCTTCTGAACGTGGTCTGCCCTTAGGAGGAACTACTTAGCCAGAGCCTAACTTTCAGGGGTTTTACCAATGCCTAACTGACCTAGAAGAAGGGAAACACCCAACTCTAAGTAAACTAGGAATAGAGGGAAATTTCCTCGACTTGATAAAGAATATCTGAAAAAAAAAAAAAAAAAAAAACCCAGACACCCTAGTTAACATCATACTTAATGATGAGAAACTTGAAGCTTTCCCATAAGATCAGGAGCAAAGCAAAATGTTTCCTCTCTCCACTACTTCTGAACAGCAGATGAAAAATTCTAGATAATATAGCAAGAAAGAAAAAGAAAAGACACAGATTGGGAGGGAAATAATAATGTCTTTGTTTGCATATGACGTGATTGTCTATGAAGAAAATCTGAAAAAAATTGGCAGAAAAGTCTCCTGGAACTAAGTAATTATGGGAAGGTTGAGGAATACTAGGTGAATATACAAAAGTCAATTGTTTTCCAGTACACAAGTGTGTTAGTCTGTTTCATGCTTCTACAACAGAATACCGAAGACTAGGTAATTTATAAAGAACAGAAATTTATTTCTTACAGTTCTGGAGGCTGGGAAGTCCAAGGTTGAGGGGCTTACATCTGGTGAGGTCCTTCCTGTTGTGTCATCCCATGGTTGAAGGCAGAAGGGCAAGCAAGACAGCATGTATATAGAAGGAAAAGGAAGGGAAGGTCAGGGGGTAGGGAAGGAGAAGAGAGGGGGAGGGAAAGGGAGAGGGGAAAAGGTGGGGAGGGGAGCCAAACTCATCCTTTTATTAGGAACCCTCTCCCACAATAAGCCTGAATCCATTCATTAGAACAGAACCCCTCGTGACCTAATCCCCTCTTACAGGTCCCACCTCTCAGCACTGTTGCGTTGGGGATTAAATTTCTCTCCATGATATATTCAATCCATGACAACTAGCAATGAACAAATGAAATTCAAAATTAAATAAACCAGTACTTCCCCAAAATAAAATAGGTATAAATCTACCAAAATATATACAAGATCCGTGTGAGAAACATTGAAAAACTTTAATGAAAGATGTCAAAGAGGCACCAAACAAATGGAAAAATACTACATATTCATGGATGGGAAGATTCAATATTGTCAAGATGTCAGCTCTTGCCAACTTGATCTATAGATTCAATGAAATCAAAATTAAAATCCCAGCAAGCCACTTTGTGGAGATTAACAGGTTGATTCTAAAGTTCATCTGCAGAGACAAAAGACCCAGAAGCGCCAGCAAAACACTGAAGAAGATTAAAGTTGGAGGACTGACACTATATGACTTCAAGACTTAATATAAAGCTACAGTCATCTAGACAGTGTGGTATTGGTAAAATAATAGACAAATAGATCAGTGGAACAGAATAGAGAGCTCAGAGATAAACCCTGCAGATAGTGTATGTCAAAGGAGCAAAGGCAATATAATGGAACAAAGAGTCTTCAACAAATGATCCCAGAACAACTGGACATCACATACAAAAAAAAAAAAAAAGGGGGGTAAGACACAACCCTTACTTTCTTCACAGAAATTAACTCCAAATGGATCACAGACCTAAATGTAAAATGTAAAACTGTAACACTCCTAGAATGTAATAACACAGGAGAAAATCTAGATGAGTATGGGTATAGTGATGACTCTTTAGATACAACACCAAAGACATATCCATGAAAGAAATAATTGATAAGCCAGACTTCCAGACATCATTAAAATTAAAACCTTTTGCTTTACAAAAGACAGTGTCAAGATAATGAGAAGATAATCCAAAGACTGGGAGAAAGTATTTGTAAAAGACACTTCTGATAATGGATTGTTTAAAAAAAAAAAAAACAAAAAACTCTTAAAACTCAGCAATAAGAAAACAAACAACCCAAAACGGGCCAAAGACCTTCACAGACACCTTGCCAAAGAAGATATGCAGATGGCAAATAAGCATATGAAGAGACGTTCCATATCATATGTCATCAGGGAAATGCAAATTAAAGCAACAATGAAGTACCACTACATACATATTAGAGCGGTCCAAATCTGGAACAGTGACACCACCAAATGGTGGTGAGGATGTGGAGCAACAGGAACTCTCATTCATTGCTGGTGAGAATGCAAATTATACAGCCACTTTGGAAGACAATTTGGTAGTTTCTTACAAAATAAACATTCTCTTACTATATAATCCAGCAATCATGCTCTTTTGGTATTATGTCCACATATAAACATGCATATAGATGTTTATGGCAGCTTTATTCAAAATTGCCAATGCTTGGAAGCAAGTGAGATGTCCTTCGGTAGGTGAATGGATAAATAAACTGTGGAACATCCAGACAAGGGAATATTATTCAGCACTAAAAAGAAATGAGCTATCACATCATGAAAAGACATGGAGGAAACTTACATGTATATTATTAAGTGAAAGAAGCCAGTCTGAAAAGGCTACATACTGTAGGATTCCAACTATCTGAGATCCTGAAAAAGGTAGAACTACTGAGACGTAAAATGATAAGGGGTTGCCAGGGCTTAAGAGGAAAAGGGGGATGAATAGGTGGAGCACAGAAGATTTTTAGAGCAGTAAAGCTGTTCTGTATGATACTATAATGGTGGATACAGGTCATTATGAATTTGTTCAAACTCAAAGAATGTACAACACAGAGTGAACCCTAATGCAAACTATGGACTTTGAATGATAATACTATGTCAATATAGTTTCATCAGTTGTAACAAATGTACCACTATGGTGAAGATGTTAAAAATGGGGGATGTTGAAAATGCCTGTGTCAGCACTGGGAATACATGAGAAATCTCTACCTTCTGCTCAGTTTTGTTGCAAACCTAAAACTGCTCTAAAAAAATAAAATCTACTTTTTTTTAAAAAAAGCAGCACACCTAATTTTATAACTAACCAGGTTGGGAAGGGCAAACATATAAATCTTCTGGATAATCCTCTTTGTTTAACTTCACCTTTCTAAAGAGCAGCAGCTGGGTAGGTGTTGGCTGCTTTTCCTGCTATGTAAATGACAGGCCCTGGCCAAGAATGCTTAACAGACAGGTGTGTCCCAGCCTCTCCCCTACTTTTACCCAAGTCAGTTTTTTTTTCATTCCTAGGCTAACTCTAAGGTGGAAAGCTTTTCCTAAGTGGGGGGTTGTGTTGGTCTTAAGGCTTATGTAACTTGGACATAGCCTCTTTAAGGAGAAAAAAAAAAAATCAATGTATGAATATAAAACTAAGTACAAAGGCCCTCAGAAGAGGTCTATAATAATGAGGAATTCTAAAGCTTAAGCTTCATTACCTTCACAGCAGATTTACCTCTGCACAACTTTCTCATTTTGGAGCAAATCAAAAGAACTCTGTTTTACAAATGTCTACGTTTTCAATATATATAGTTAAATTGAATTTTTAGAAATAAAAAGGAGAAAAAACTCCACAGAAATGGACCATTTTGGCTGAGAACTGCAAAAACTCTGGGCACAAACATGTTATTCACCCTCTCTTGAGAGACTTAGCCATTCCCAGGCTTTTAGCAGCCTGAGCCTTGTCTCTGGGAAGACCCAAACACCTTTTGAGTTCCTGTCTGGAAGAGTTCAGTCCCTAACCTCCCTTTCTTACAGCTTTTACTAAAAAGGGCTTGCAATTGTGAATCTTTCCTCTGTCCCTTCCAGATGTATATGCATCTCCTGCAACTCAGGAGTGTCTTTCTCAAGGACTTGAAAGCCATTCCTTTGAAATGTAATCCTCAGGAAGGAAAGGGCCTCTGTCTCAGTCTCTGTGGGAGGATAGAAGCCTAACTTCAATAATTGCCAGCAAGCATTCACAGTTGGCTTAATTGCATTTGCATTGACCAACCTTTTGTAATTTTTCACTTCCCTGATTCCACTGAGCCTCCGCTCACGCCTCTCCTACTCTCTCATTCTCCTTTAAAAACACCCAGTCACCTCTGTGCAAATCTGAATGGAGCTCAGCCCTTTCCCTTGTTATCAGTAGCTACTGAACAAAATCAGTTTTCACTGTTTTAACTAACATCCGACTTTGTTTATCTTTTACATGCCCCGGAAGAGTCTGAGGCTGAGTTCTTAACCACAGCCCAGTGGCACAGGCTTCATTGGTGGGTGAGTTTACTCATTATCTCCTGTGTACTCTGAAATTGTAGAAAGAGCAACATAATCCCTTTATAAACACCTTCCCATCACCTTTCTGACCCTATCTCCTAACACTTTCCTCCTTGCTTGCTCCTCTGCAACTATGCTGGCTTCCTTGTCCATCCTGGAACAGACCTGGCACGTTCTTGCCTCAGGGCTTCTGTACTTGGGAATCCTCTTCCTGAAACACTGTTGTCTGTATTTTGCAGGGAAGGACATTTGGGCTCGGCAAATTTAAGTGTTGTGACCAAGTGATTAAAACTTGAGAAACGCTCCTTAATGTTTTTTCCCACTGGCTTCATTCTCAACACCCCACTTCCTCTCATGATCTATTCGATCAGTCAGGAGACCCTGTTGGCTCCACCTTTGAAATGTGTTCTGGGTTCCACCAGTTGTCCTACCTCCACTGTTGCCATGAAGGTGGGACGACTACCGCTTCTTGCCTTCATGACTACCGGAGCCTCCCATCTTGTCTCCTTGCTTCTTCCCTTGTCCCTGTAGTCTATCTCAACACAGCAACCAATGTGGTCCTTTTAAAATACAAGTTAGATCGTGTTGCTCCTCTGCTCAAAACCCTTTGATTGCTTTGTATTTCCTGCAAGGTAAAAACTTTGAAAGGCCTTACAAAAGCCTATCAAGCTCTACAGTAATGCTGTCCAAGGCAGTCACAACAGGCCACATGAGGCTATAGAGCACATGAGATGGGGCCAGTTGGAATTGAGATGCAAAATACACACTGGACTTTGAAAACTTAGTTTGAAATAATGTAAAATAAGTAAGAATGTAAAATATCTCATTAATAATTTTCATAGTAATTATATATGGATATTATAACATTTTTGATATATTGGATAAATAAAATATATTATTAAAATCAATTTTACTTGTTTCTTTTTACTTTTTTACTATGGCTACTAGAAAATCAAAAATTACATATCTGGTTCATGTTTGTGGCTTGAATTATATTTCCATTGGACAGAGCTGGTCTATAGTAACTGATCCCTCCCGAAAACCTCTTCTGATCTTATCACCTGCTCACTTCTGTTCTTGCCACGTTGGCCTCCTTGCCATTCCTTGAGCATCCAAGCACACGAGACACGCTCTTACCTCAGGGCCTTCGCACTTGCTATTTCCACTCCTAGAAAACCTTCCCCCTGTTATCTGGATGTTTCTTCATCTTCCCTAGACTTGATTCAAATTTTACCTTCTCAATGATACCTTCCTGACAGCCTACTGAAAACTGGATTCCTCACCCACCTCCACTCTCATATCCACTATCCCTTTCCCTGTCTTACTTTTCTCCATAGCATTGTCACCATGTAACATACTGTACAACTTTCTTATTTATTTTATTTATTGTCTAACTTCCCCTGTAGAATCCACCAGGCAGGGAGTTTTGTTTAAAGTCGTGCTCCCGAAATCTAGAACTGTACCTGGTATGTAGTAGATGTTCAATAACTTAGTGGAATGAAATACTGAATGAATCTTAATCAACCACTTCATTATACAGGTGAAGGAACTGAGTGGCTTTCCCAGGGTCTCACAGCTTGTTTAGGGGCACAGTGGATGTACCCTCAGTAAGATCAGATGCCACCATCTAGAACCCAGCCCTTTACCTATATTTGAATTTCTTCACTGGACTCTGTGCACCTTTTTATGCCTCTTTTAAACTTTGCACTTAAGGAAGACTTACTCTAGAAATAATCTACTCAGTCACACCCAGGGGATGACCTCCAGCTTTCTTTCTTGCTCCAAGGATATGCTTTTGACATTTTTTTTCCCTAGGCAGGAATTCTGGGTCTGTCTGGATCACAGGAAACTAATTATTTCACCAGGGAAAAAAAATCTGCTTGAAGGAAGCCATTACATTTGATTGTATAATAAATAAAATATTTAAACTACAGCCTGAGGATTTAAATAGTTCATTTATTCGACAAAAAGACACATTTTTATTGAGCACTTTGGCATATTGATATATGCCAGGCATTGTTTTAGGTGCTGGGAATAAACAGAGAGATGTGCCAGTCTCCGAGGAATGAACAGTCTAGTGTGTATGTGTGGGGAAGGAGGGTAAGCAAACAATTGCAGGGTGCATTAGTTTCCTATTGTTGCTGTGACAAATTACCACAAGCTTAGTGGCTTAAAACAATGCATATTTATTTTCTTACAGTTCTGGAAGTTAGAAGTCCAAAATGGATCTTATTCAGCTAAGAATCAAGGTGTCAGGAGTCTGTCCCTTATGGAAGCATTATGGGAGCATCTGTTTCCTTGTCCTTTTCAGCTTCTAGAGGCCGCCTGTATTCTTGACTTGCAGCCCTTCCTCCATCATTAAAGGACATCTCTTCAATCTCTGCTTCCATCCTCACTGGCCTTCCCCTCTCACTCTGACTCCTCCTGGGTCACTCAAGATCTTTGACTTAAATATATATAGCTATATATATTTTACTCTAGTTATTTATATTTAATATATTTTGATGATATATATTTTAATTGACAGATAATAATTGTCTATATTTCTGAGGTACAATGTGATGTTTTGATATATTTATACATTGTGGAATGATTGTATCAAGCTAATTAACATATCCATCATTTCACACATAATCATGCATTGCTTAACAAGTGGGATACATTCTGCGAAATGGTATGGCCTATTGCTCCTGGGCTACAAAGCTGTTCAGCTGGTTACTGTACTGAATAGTGCAGGCAGTTGTAACACAAGCTAGGTATTTATATGTCTAAACATATTTAAACATAGAAAAGGTATAGTAAAAATACAGTATTCTAATCTTATGGGACCACAGTCATCCATCGTTGGCTGAAACATTGTGTGTATGGATGACTGCGTAATGAGAACTTTAAAATCTATTCTTTTAGCAATTTTGAAATACACAATTTATGATGATTAACTATAGCCACATTGCTGTGCAATAAATTCAAGATCCTTAATCACATCTACAAATTCCCTTTTGTCACTTAAAGGAACTTACCATTCACAGGTGTGGGGATGAGGATGTGGACATTTCAGTGGAGGGGTGGGTGGGTGGCATTACTCCATCACAGGACAATGTGACAAGCGCTACAGTTGAGGTGAATATTAGATGCTATGTAAACAAAAATGACAGCTCAGAGAAGACATTGAGGAGAAGCAAGGTAGTTTTATAGAGCAAGTGGCTGCTTAGCTGAGGCTTGCATGGTGCAGTGAATGGTACCATTCTTAAAGGAATACACAAGAAAAATGAAGTATAAATGAAGATGAGGTTTGTATTAACTACCTATTGCTGGGTCACAAATTACCTCCCAAACTTAGCAGCTTAAAACAACAAATGTCTAAGAGTTCGTCATTTCTGAGGGTCATCAGTCTTAACTATCTGATCCTGCCCTATGGTCAATCATGAGATTGTAGCCAAGTTGTTGGCTGGGGCTGCAGTCATCTGAAGGGGCTGAAGAAGCAGTATCTAAGCTCGCCCATGTGACTGCTGCAGGAGGCTTCAGTGCCTCACCACATGGGCCTTTCCATAGAGTTGCTTATAGGACACAGCATGGCATTTGGCTTCCCAGAGAGTGAGTAATCGAAGAGAAAGAATCAAAGACAGAAGCCACAGTTATTTGCAACCTAATCTCAGAACTGACGTATCCTCACTTCTCCCATGCTGTTGGTCATACAGACCAACCCTGGTGCAATATGGAGAGGGGAGAGGACCACAGAAAGGGTGAACTCCGGGAGCAGGGATCACTAGGGCCATCTTGGAGTCTGGCTACCACAGTATTCTTGGGATTACAAACAGTTTCCCATTGTTGACATGTAGGCAGTCTGGAAAGATTGGTGGGGGTGAGGTTGGTGGGGGTGAGGTTGGCATGGGAAGGAAGGGCTAGAGCATGTGGAGCCTATACACTTGCCCAAGAGTTTGTAGATAATTATTTTCTTGATAGGGAGGGATTGCAGGGGCTTAGTCACGGGAGTGACCAAGTTGCTTTTTAGAATGATCACTGCAGTAAGAGTGCATGGAAGGAGGTGGCACAGAAGGCAAAGAGATTAGAGAGAAAGAACTGCTAAGAAGCTATTGCAATAGCACAGGAGAGAGAGGAAGAGGCCTGATATAAGGCAGTAGTGGTCAAGGAGTGGTGAGGATGATGGGTTCAGGGCACATTCAGGAGGTGGAATGGTTCATGGTTCGGGAGGGAGAGTTAGGGAAGCCATAGGGCCGCTCTTAAGTTGCTCGTTTGCAGGAGGGATTGGTAACATTACATGAATATAGAAAGAAGGGCAAGGTCCACATGAGGTGAACAAAAGTTAAGATGCCTCATATGAATACATTGTGCCTATGGGGCATTCAGGTGTAGAGATAACTAATGAGTAGTTTGAGTGGAATAAATTTAGTTTAGACTAACTACAGCAAGAGCTTCTTAGCATTTGTCAAGAGATTCTGTGCACTTGGGCCAGAGAAGAGTTCTTCTCACTGTGTTAGTGTGATGTCCGAGCCTAAGCGGAACAGCATTTTCTAGACACCATCTTTATGTTTTCATCATCCTTGTAACTACCATTGATTGTCTGCTGCATAGCGCACTCTGTGCTTCACACCTTGCATGCCCTTTCATTTCATTTCATCTTCCCACTAACCCAGTGAGTCATGTAATGTTATTTCTTTTTTACGGGGGAAGAAACTGAAGAAGGTTCTACTGCTAGCCCCATTTTACAGATGAGGAAGCAGACTTACTTCATGTCAATAACATTGCTCAGGGCTATACAGGGAATCAGTATGCAGCTCTCAGGTCTAGATCTTCCTACTCTAGACCAAGCTTGTCCGACCTGCAACCTGTGGGTCACAGGCAACCCAGGACAGCTTTGAATGTGACCCAACACACATTCGTAAACTTTCTTAAAATGTTATGAGATATTTTTTGCAATTTGTTTTCTTAGTTCATCAGCTATCATTAGTGTTAGTGTATTCTATGTGTGGCCCAAGACAATTCTTCCACTGTGGCCCAAGGAAGTCAAAAGACTGGACACCCCTGCCTAGACCCTACTCCTTTAATTGAACAGACATCTATCATATGCTTTATAGAATTAGAGAAACTTTCCAGCATGGTTTGGGTGGAGTGATGGTTTATGATCTGATGTGTGAGAGATAGCAAATAGAAAGCAGGAACAAGGTCATGAATCCACATATGCAGTGGTGTGAAAAAAGGGTCAAATGCCCTCTTCCTGGTAAATATAGATGTCTACATATTGGCAATGTTTTCAATCTTTTTCCTAAAACTCTCTTCTTGTTTTTGCTATTTCGGAAAAAATGTGAGGAAATGCTTTCATTCACTTAAAAAAATAGCAAATTGTTCATTTTCTTGTCACAGAAAAATGCCAGCATCTTGCATTAGCAAGATGGCTTTTGAAGCTTAAGATGGATGCAAATGGAGTTTTACCACAGCAGCATTTTTCATTAGAAGGGAGAAAAGGGAGGCGAGAGATGAAAGATGTCAGACAGATCCTGTCTTTTTTTTTTAGGGAAGGTTCCCACAACAGCAGATAGACTGGTCTAGAAATAGCTACCCGTCATTACTTTATATATATATATATCTATATACACCCCTCTATTTCTTAAAAAAGTTTCCATATCTGAGGTTATACTGTGGAATTTAAGAGGCGATAAAGGGAATAATAGTCATGCATGCTTCATGAATGGCTCCCAGATTATTCACTGTCCTAAAGAAGATGCAGGCTCTGGACTGCAGACTTCCTGTAGGTCAGAGTATGAAAGCACAGGGTCCTACTGAGGCAAGAGCAGCTTCACAGCTTCTCTGCAGTTGTCTAGAATTTCCCAGAGAAAGCAAAAGATGAGGCTAAATGTAGACTTTCACCTTGAAAAGCTGTAAAGGTAATAAAAACAGGGCATAGTGGGTTGGTTTGCAAGACTCCCACTTCACATTTTATGTGCGTTTCCAAGCAACAGAGCTTCCTAAAACTAGAGAAGTGGGGACGTGAGTGACGAGCACAGTAGGCTCAGCCACTAGCTGCACCAGATAACTTTGGACACAAGAGAACTGCTTGCTTCATCTCTGTCCATTGTGGAGTCAGCTCCAACCCTGACTCACTCCTCCTGCCCACCATCCTTCCTCCTCATCCCCACCCCACTATCCTCAGAGCCTTGGGAATCCCTGCACATATTAGCTGTCTAATCAGTACTCATTTTCTTTCTTTCTTTTATTTTTTTTAGACAGAGTCTCACTCTGTCGCCCAGGCTGGAGTGCAGTGGCGTGACCTCGGCTCACTTGAATCCAGGTTCAAGCGGTTCTCCTCCTGGGTAGCTGGGATTACAAGCACGCACCACCATGCCCAACTATTTTTGTATTTTTAGTAGAGGCAGGGTTTCACTATGTTGGCCAGGCTGGTCTCGAACTCCTGACCTCGAGTGATCCACCCACCTCAGTCTCCCAAACTGCTTTATAGGTGTGAGCCACCGCACCTGGCCCAATCACTACTCATTTTCTGGCTTTCACTGATACAATCATATCTTCCATATTGATTTATCCGGGAACCATCTAATGTTTCCTTAGATATTTACTGGTTAGGTAAATGAAGCAGCTCAGTACTGGGGGGAGTCCTAAGTTTGGGATGAGGCATTATTCAACTGTTCGGACACAACTCTTCCTATTGCATGTAGGCTTTGGGACATAACAGAATTTCTGGTTCTGGCTTTGGGTTTCAAGGCATTAGCACTTCATTAAAGTTAACTTAAAAAAATGCATCAACTGAGTTTTCTTTCTCAGCTAATTTTAACACATAATGTTTTTTATTTCTTTCACTTTTCCATTCAGTGAAATGCATATTAAATGAAAGAAAGAAAATTATGAAACTTCTGTAGTCTAGGCTCACAATTAATAAGATGCTTAGGTGCCTATCAATATACTTGTTGGTAGTAACATCACAAAAACATATTATACAACTTCCTGCAAATGGGCTAAGGATAGCAAAGACTGTGGAAAAACTCTCTAACTGGAAATTAATCTTCCTCCCAGGAGGCCCACAATAATAAAGTCAAATGCTGAATATATGCAGATTTATGTGACATGCTAGCACATTATTACCACATATTCTATTAATTACTAGTCAGCCAGAGGAAATCAGCTCAGGGGTAGAAGGAAGTCAGTTCATGGACAAATTCAGCCTTCAGTTTGAAATTCTTCCACTGCCATGATCACTGAAACCTTTCAGGTTCACCTACTGAACATTAGGATTAGCTCCTTAGCAAATAGCGGTTTGACGAGACCTTCGGAATAATTTTCTACTTGCGCAACTTGTCCAACTTTGCTATAATTGTCTTTTTAATTCTACTAATTTTAACTTTGCTTGTGAAGAAATCATTTTATGATATTAGTGAAATGGATATTGTCTGAGAGGTTTTCGGATAACTGAATTTCCTAAGTGTATTTCAGAGTGGAATCTGTGATGCGTCTGGAATTCTCCCCCTTCTTAGGGACATCTCTGGCCCAGGGAGAGGAAGCACCCCACACCCACAGATGGCAGGATACTCAGGCTGGTGCTCTGTGACTCTGAGGTCCACATAGAAACAGCCATAGGAACCCCAGCACCTCATTCGGACTCTACTTCCTCTAGGTTAACTCTTATCTTCTCCCTCCAATGTATCATTTCATTAGCTCTGCCCATTTAGTAACTCTATTCCAACTAGTAGACTTCCTCCTTCTTCCTTATCCTTTTACCTTCTTCCATATCCCCTGCCTGTTTGTCTCCTATTTTTTTTATCTGATGCTTCTTTCAGACACCGTTCTTGGTAACTGACGTGTCCTACTTAGTCCAAGTCCACTCCTGCAATATGCCCCGGGGAGCACTGCTGCGGTGGGTGGGCTCCTGGCCCTGTTGCTCTGCGGCCCACCCCTGTGTTTCAGGGAGATCTCAGCCAGTTCCTGGGTTTCTTGCTCTGGTTGGAGGAATTTCT